GGAAAGAAATAGAATTCCTTCATATTACTCTATCTAAAAGTGTCCCAGGCCAATACTAATCCACACTCGAATCTAGGTCAGCGTGTGTGGATTGTCCTCTGGGTTAGAGAGTTACTCACCCAGCTATTGGACCTTTGTATCAGGTCAGCGTGTGTGGATTGTCCTCTGGGTTAGAGAGTTACTCACCCAGCTATTGGACCTTTGTATCAGGTCAGCGTGTCATATTAAAATAGAGTAACCACCCGGAACAGGACGATTACATCATATAGAAGTCAATAGATAAAGCTAGAGGGCATCAGATAATTTTACAAACACTTCTTTGTGTAAAGACCCTGGCAGTAAAGTTTCTAAAGGAAGCTCTGTGCAATGCCTTGGGCCCAACTGGCCCTGGGTCTGAACCCAGTCCCAAATGTTGACTTGGTATCTTTCATTTTTTACATGTATATACAGTATGTTTTTTCTTCTGATATTGTTTCAAAGCTCAGGTTGGCTTGTAGACATGTACAGTGTGGTATTGATATGTAGCAAAGTGAATAAAAATTTACTACAGATTTCAAGTCCCTGCCCCTTTCCCATGAAAAAATTAAAAAAATAACCCAACTGTACTGTGGATACTTTGATCCATTGTTCATTTGTTTTTTGACACCTTTCCACCTTCTTTCAAATTTTCAAAAGTTCACTTACATAGCAACTTTCCTTTTTTCTGAAACAATTATCATGGCAATTTCTGTAGCCAAGAGAGCACAGCAAGAGTATTGAGGATTTGGTTTTTTTGAAAGATTCAGAACATCATGTCCATTGTCAACCATCCAAGAATGCTTCTGCAAGATTTATTGACAACTCTCTGCATATCAATAGGTGATGTACTTGTTTTACACCACAACTTTAGTGTTTCTGAGTTGGGATGATATTTTTGTAGGCAAGGCTTTACTGCTCCTCAGGCTGAAAAGCTTGTTGAACATTACCAACCTTACCAAGCAATCCCCAAAGGCAGTATGAGTGTTAAGGTTATCTGTAACTTGAAATTTTCTTTGATTCTTGTTAACTACTATAACTTAGTACTTAGGTTGATGGAGGCTCTCATTCTCAAAAAAAATGTTTTCTGTATTCAAATTGTCTTGATATACTATAGGATGGATAGTGTATTTGAAACATGTAGCTGGAGTTCTTGGCCATTTAATTTAAAACATAACCAAGGTACTTAGGCACATAGGTAGGTATCCATGTACATATAATAGGCACTTGAGGACATAAGATAGAGACTTGAGGTTGTGATATAGGTATCCAAGGACATAATTTCGGCCTTCAGGCATGTAAGCTAAGTCCTCGAGTATACAGTCATAACACCGTAAGTCCATAGCATTTTAACCCCATGCCCCCCCTTTGTCCATAGATTATGGATTTCCCAATCTGGGAAGGCATGAGAAGGTTTTCATTTCTCCATGCCCCCCTGTAACCCATTGTTTAAACCTGTCCTAAATGTATGGACTTACGGAGCTTTGACTGTATATGCTATATCTTTTAGGGGCATAGTTAAGTGTGGTCCCATATGCTGGGGAGGGGGGGGGGGCATTGTTTTCTTTAGATTGACTTGAGCTTATAGAATTGGAATGATACATATCTTCTGATTCTAACTCTATCATTTCTGTCTTGAAAAGTGGAGAATAAAGTAGTCAACGTTTAGCCCAAAAACAAAAGGTCTCTTTTGCAGGGGAGGCTGTTACACAGAGCTGCCTTTACCAACTGTATGTCAGGGGGGACGCCCTGCATCGAGCAGGGCATTTTTCGGACGCGTGATCGCTCGCAGGAAAGACGGTGAGGGATGGTTGCAGGATGGTTATGGAGATGAAGAGGAGATCGGGCAAGCGAAGTCCGGTTATTTTTGGTTGAGACCACGCACCCCACTCTGCCCAGATATCAAAACTTAAACCCATGATAAATTTCACCTCTCAATACCCATGAATGGGGATTCCTGACTTCTTACCACTACACCCGCCCTTTGTGCAGTCA